TTTTTCTTGGGCAGAGTAGTGGCAGTAGTGGGAGAGAACAAGGGGAAAGGGGGTAGCACTTGCACCCACTGGGGCTCAGTCCTGCGCCGCGGTAGAAATTAGGAATTATTTGTTCGCGCCTCTTTTATGTCGTGCGTGTCACGAATTTACGCATGTGTTTGCTTTAAACGAGCGCATGTTCGACAAGCAGAGATATTCTGACACTGCTGCTGCTCTCGAAGCTTGTGGTCGAAGTCAGTTGTGCGCCTCTGCAAAGCGTCGTGGGTTTGTGCCGATCTCTTACATGAGCCGACGCTTCTTCGCTGTGTTCATGTACGGGCGCAGAACCCACTCCGTCTCGGCGTCGTCCATCTCGAGTGTGCCGAGTGTGATGCGGTACGGTGTCAGCTCCATGCGTGGACCAACCTCCGTCAGCTGCGCATCGCGCCCCTTCACCACCTTGAAGGTGTGGTGGCGGAAGCTCACAAAGTCGTTCTGGTTATCAAATGTCAGGACACGTGTGGCATCGGGCTTCGGCACGGGAAACAGAAATTTTAGCACATCCCGCACCCGGTGGCCCAGCTTCGTTGTGAAGTTCTCGAAGATCAAGTGGGGGTACTGCTCCGACATGGTGCCAACGTCCTCAATGTCGTGCCGCGTGACGAGGTTGTGTATCGTGAAGACAACGGTCGGGCCAAGCGGCAGGTGCGAGACGGTCAGGCCATCGGGCACACCCTGCGACTCCTGCAGTACAATGACGTCCGAGTACTCCTCGCGACGGGCCGCGTCCATCAGCTGGCGGACGCTGAGGTTGCCGCGATTCATGCGCACAGCGTTGGGTACCACCAGGCGTATTTCCTTCGCGAACTCTAGCAACTTCTGCGACGGCTCGCGTGATGTGGTGACGAGGACACGCGGGTCTTTGAGGCCGGCGTTGGCATACTCATCATCTACTGTGCTCTGCAGCACCTTCGTTTGGTCGTCGTCTAGCTCCGAGAATTTTTTGAGGGCCAGCGCGTCTTTGCGTAGGTGACCTGGCATTGGCGTGGCGCCTGTGAGTGCGTCGCGGAACTGCTCCTTCCTGGCATGTATTGCCTCGTGTACATGCTCGTTCTGCTTTCGCTCCAGGAACTCCTTGCGCTGCCTTATGACGCTGCGTCGCATGTGATGTGAGGTGCTGCTGTTGTTCTTGCCTAACGCCGCCTTACCAACCGCTATACGATTGCTTGAATAGATAAAAAAAAACAGCAATGCGGAGCGATTGGTTTTTACTAGAGAGAGAAGTAAAGGAAGGGAAAAACACATGCACGGCAGGTGAGTGAAATGCTATTAATGGGCGTTAAAGCACTCACAACATCTTAGTCGCATACACACACAGCAACAGACACATTTTTCTTTACACCTACTTTACTCCCTCGCGTACTTGGTAGCAAACAAAACAGCGGGGTGAGGTGCGCTGTTTTTCCGGTCTCAAGTAATCCTCCGGCCGCCTGAAGAAGTGACTGATATCGACTTCAGACGGCTGGACAAGCAGGGCGTCCTCACCGGCAAGGTAGGTAATCACACAGCTGGCGTGGTAGACGTGGGAGCAGCCAAATACCACAGAGCTTCCAAAAGTCTGTCGGAGACAAAAGGGGCAAAGCGACACGCCCGGGCTCACACGAATTGCGGCTATCTGACGCCGATATAATGTGCCGTACTGCTTCTCCAAGTCGGTTGCCGCCACATCAGCAACAGCTGCCATGAGTCGCACATCATTGGCCTTACTGCATGCCACAGCGGCGATGCAGCTGGCCACATGTGGTATAGGCTCACCCTCCGGCAAAAGTTCCACTACGTGCAGAGCGTTCAGTGCAGCATGTCCGCTGATCGACGGATCCACGACGGCATGGAGCAATGCCTGAATTAGATTTAGCGGCACGACGCAGGTACCGCTTGGTGAAACCACATGGCTACCACTGCTGCTGGTGTTCTTATTGCTCTTGTTGGCTGCTGTCTTCCATGTGGTGTTTGCCAAACACAGTTCCTCTTCATCGACTTCGTACTTCTTGGCGATGCTGGACCACGTCTCTCCTTCCGTTGGGCGGTACTCGAAGTACCTCTGCCCTCCGTAGCTTGGCAGCGCGGCGTTCACCTCGAGGCACATGTGCAGAAGCTTGTCGAATAGATCACGCTGATCCTCCTCACTAGGTATGTCGGCAATATACTGCAGGGCCTTTTTCATGCTCTTCATGTCTTGCACAATAATGCGCAGACCCTCTTCCTCTTTTCCCATTCGCGCGAGCAGAAAGACTGTCTCTTCGAGCAACTGGTGCTTCTTGCACAGCGCATATATCTCCTTCAGATTGGGCAGGTGCGTCGAGTTCTCGCGCAAAAATGCGAGTAAACCTGAGGGCTCATTCTCAATAAAGAGTGCGGCGACAAGTTGCGCGCGTGACCGCGACACCGCCGCGTGGGCCGCCCTGTCGCGTGTCTGCAAAGCCTTCAGATACGCCCACAAGTACCGGCGTTCCGTCTTCTCCAGTCGTTGTACAACGGCTGCTGGGGCCAGAGATGATTGTGTCGACGATGATACATCCTCTGCGTCACTCTTGCCTGTGGCGTGGCGCATCGTTTCCCGATACTCGAGAAGAAGTTCAATCGTCTTATCCTCATTTCTGGTGAACAACTCGGGCAGTATCTCAATAGCCTTCGCAAATAATCCCTTTTCACGGACGAATTCGAAAAGCCCACCGCTCTGATCCACCTGCAACAGAACCTGAAGCGCCTCATCATACTGGCCATTTAGCCGCAGCAGAAGACCATACGCATCGCCAAGTGCCGTTAATTGTTCATCAGATATACCACTAGATTGCCCATGCAACTTCCAGTTATTGTACCTCAACTCAACAGCGCGGCACACAACATCACAACGAAACAAACCCTTGAATTTATGCACAGCCACAGAAAAGGAGAGCACATCCTTTTCCAAGCAGCGGAAAAGCACAAGCTCATAGTATTCCTCGCCAATTCTGGAATCTGTCCTCCCTTGAGAACTGTCACCGTCCTTTGCATTACTCTTGTAGCTTGGGGGAAGCACATTCACAAGCATGTCCGACACACCGTGTTGGTCAAACTGGCATATCCATCTTTCCCACTCTGCGTAGTCACTACCAAGGATCTCTGTCAGGAGAGACACCACATCTTTGTACTTTTGTCCTGCAAAGAGATGCTGCAGGAGGCCTTTACCGATATTCGCCAATTGAAGCCGACGGAGCGGATATCGGCCAGCATACTCGTAGGCCTCCTCGAAGCGATCCATTTGAATAAGATACTCCACATGGTCGTCATTACTAATGGGTATCGCCTTGACGACGGTGTCCACGCATACAATAAAGTAAGCAGACCCCGACAGAACATCCAGCGGTGATGCTGATGATGATGATGACGGCAACGGGAGTAGCGGAGGCGCTGCTGCTGCTGCTGCTGCTGTTTCAGTCACCGCGGTTGCTCCTTCCCTACCCCCTGTGCCTCCACCCGAGAAGGCCAAACTAAATTGCAGCGGGTGTTTGTACTTGGTCTGTAGCCGGCCCCGATACACATCGGCAAACGATACCCGCTCCACGATGCGCACCTCCAGCTCCTTCATGTGCCCCTCCTGCTCAATAGTGCAGACTAGCAAAAAGTATCGATCTGCACCAAACGGCGCAATACCGCAAACACGGCACGGCTCTCGTGTTGAATGCGTCCGAATGGCTGGCATAACATCCACACGGTGGGTGCGAGTCAAAAATTCCGTGCCCCACCGCAACCGCTCTTCCATCCGCAGCTCGTGCACATGCATCACCTGCACCCAGTCTCCCCAGCCGCAGATAAGCGTGCGGGGTGCCTCCCAAATGAGCGAGCAGCGGTATAGCTCCAGTCTAGGTGAGTCTGCCGGCCGTGGCACGAGCTGTACCATCGCCCTTGAAGTGTAGCTGTACAGCTGCACTCCACGATCGTTCGCCCACGCAATGAGATCGGGGCCGCACCAGCGTACCACGTGCACCTTCCCACGTCGTTCCTGCAGCACAGTGGCCTTGCGGTGGCCAAGGAACATTGTCTTAGTGATGAGCATGACTTTATCACCACCACCCACAACGATGGGGCGATCTTCGTTTCGGCTGTACCGTGGGTGGAGCGCTATGGACTGGGTTGGCACATCAAATTCCTTCCTGTAGGAGTCGCGCTCGTCATACAGGTTCTGTACAGTAACCACACCAGCCTTGTCCGAGGACCCTACGTGTTCCTCGCTCATATCGCAGCTCACATCACTGATGGGGTCGACGTGCTTGTTGAGCGTTCGGAACACAATTCCTGTTGCCTCCGTCAGCGTCACCAGGCCACGGTTGGTGCCGACGACAATGAAGCGGTTAAACGCGGCCACAACCATGATGTGTTGCCCACGCAGCCCATCTAGCGGGAATGTTGCAAAGGAAAGGAGATTCTCCTGTTCGTCTCCATCATCGTCATCCGTCACATCTTCTTCTTCTTCTTCCTCGTCGTAGGATCCACTGAGGTACGACTCCTCCTCCTCCACCTCCAGTTCCTCGACCACCTCCTCGTACTCAGCGTCGTCATCGTTGCCTAGATCCGGCTCCTGGGAGCTCATTGGGGGGG